TAATGTGTATGTATTTCACAGTCTTCAAGTGCATACAATCCCATTTATGATTTCTACACTACATGTTTCGGCAGTATGCTGCCATCTTCAGGTGTATTGATCCGTTAACCATTTCACTGCTTGCCTTTGTACACACAACATTAGAAATATAAGAAGAACGACCTCCATGTGGATTATCAATAACACACACGAATTTAAAATTTGACATATGAGATAATAGGTTTTAAAGAGTTTTAAATACATAAACTTTATTATTATATAAGGACGTATACAAATTTAATATTATTTGTAAATGGACATATAAAGGCAAGCAGTGAAATGGTTGACGGATCGATACACCTGAAGATGGCAGCATACTGCCGAAACATGTAGTGTAGAAGTGGTAGATGGGATTGTATGCACTTGAAGACTGTTAATACATACACATTATGAATTTGTGTCCCTCCATATTTAAAGAAAACCTCCAGGTATATAATCATAACAACAAATTTTAGAATCTCATAAGAATACGGGCTTATGAGTCGTTTCCTTTCGGTGTTATTTCCCATAGAAAAAGATTCATTTATTTGTTACTCAGCTTTCAAACTGTTACTTCTTTTACAGTAAGTTGCAGAGTTAGAACGTTGCAGTGTTCCTAGAACTTTTGCTTGAACTATGTTTGAAGCCGACCACTCACTTACATCTACTGCCAGGGTCAAAAATGCTCCATACATCTTCATTGATTGGTGCTTAGTTGAGCACAGGGACAATTTCATCTTTACATTTACAATCCAAAAATTTCGTAGATTCTAAAGGGTTCTGAAGATGATGTATAACACCAAGAACCACTGGATTTTTTGGACGTTCTACATCATCGGATATTCTAGAAACTAGAAAACATAACGTTTCGGAAATTGGAGGCACCTACCCAACTGGGTCCATTCAAAAGAGCTAACCTCAAGCACTGAACCCTCCTCACCTGAGAATGGAAAGAGATCGAGCTTCCGAAACTTTGTTTTCTAGTTTCTAGAATACCGGACCGTGGACAAAGTTCAAAAGCCTAGTGATTCTGAGTATAAATTTCATGTCAGATTTCCCCTAGAGAAATTGTTTATGATGCAGGCCTAGACAGAAGTAGCCTTAAAGTGAGAGTGATGAGCTTCGCAGTTCTAGTACGGAACAGAGAGAGATATACATATGTTTTCTGCTTGCCCACAGTGACGGGACCTTGTATTTCAACCCAGTGACAGAGCTGGACATCGAGGCTCTGCTACCTGGCAGTGGGCATGCGCAGATTGTGGCGAAGGACACCCAAGCACTGCAGTTCATATCTGATATCCGGATAACACCCAACGACAATTACAACATCTGGTTCACCTCCTCCAAATTCCAAAAGTATTTCCGTCAGACATATGATCCGAACACCATAAATTTTAGGATCATGAGGATCACTCGCCATCTTCATTCGCCTCACAGATCTTTCTTCTTCTAGCTAGTCACTGCCCATGAGTTGGTACAAGCAAGTTCCTGGATCTATGAAATGTATTGCTCCGAGTCTTGAAAGAACAATGTATTAGGCTGATTTCAAAAATACTTAGCCCGTTAAAGCACAGTGGTACCTATATGTACCACATGCTTTAACATTCCGAAACTCAGAGCTTTACTCACAGAAATTTATTGAGTATTTCGTTATTGGTTTCAAAATAAACAGCTATCATTTCCATAAACGCCATTAGTCGAATGGTCTTCGTAAGGAAGATATTGTGACGCCTGGGAAGCAGCATTGGAAATGTAAATTTCCCACTTCAAAACATTAGTGTAATTTATAAAGATTTCATAATATTGATTGAAGAAACTGAACCTTCAAAAGACAACGAAAAACAATCCAACATTAAGCACTTTTATAAGTCAAAATATTAAACTCAATTTACGGTTACATATTCCTATTACCTGTTTCAGTAATATCAAACACGTCTATATTTGCTCTCAGTCGAAAAATGGCCTAATTGTTACCATATGAAATATGAGTGAATAAAATTAAATGGGGCACGACGCTGTAGGACTTAAAGTTGAAAATTACAGGGTCAAAAATTATTAAATTTTCTCTCGTAAATATTGAGCTCGTTGTAGTCTAGTGGTCAGAGCCCCTGGCTATAGATACAGAGGTCCAGGGTTCGATTTCCGGCGATATCAGATTATCTGAGAAGTAGTGTGTCTGAAACGGGGTCCACTCAGCTTAGTCAGGATAACTGAAGAGCTATTTCAAGGAAATAGCGGCTCCGATCTAGGAAACTGAGATTAACGGCCGTGGGGATCCGTTGCGCTGAGTATGCGACACCCTCTATCAGCTAAAGTTTGCACTAACTTCGTCGACATGCGGCGGTCGCTCTGTCGGTATAGTTCCCTTGCGGACTACAAGCCACTGAGTTTGTTTTTTTTTTATGAAGCCTGAGGTGTATACCCTGGGAATAAGACCACTAAGGGAAGGGACACGGATGTAACGTTTTAATAAAAATAATGAATGCTGTACAGTTTGAGCTAATTTGAACACGTCGCACCCTGCAATTCTGTAGAGAAACGCAATAGTCTCATCTTATGACTTGGTTGTCATGTACAATTTCTTCCTTCAAATCCCCTTTACGATACCCCACAGATAACAAATGTGTCAGTTTTAAAATTTTATAGCATAAACCTTTATAATTAGTAATAAAAAAAGAGAAAGTTTTATTCCATTAGAGTACCATATTCTTTAAGCCCTATCTTGTAATATTGTGTGCTTCGTTGACTCCTGAGTTAATTACATTCATATACATACCTACTTTTTTATTGCTAGTGGGGTGGGACTAAGTCCCTTGTACTGCGACCACTTCTGGCCTATTGTACCAGCCCCAGATGAGGGTGATTATAGAGCAATTTGTGGAATGAAGATTGCCAGGGGAAACTGAAGTACTCGGAGAAAACCTGCCCAAGCGCCACTTTGTCCACCACAAATCCCACTTGACCAGACCCGGGATCGAACCCGGGTCGCCGCGGTGGGAAGCCAGCGACTAACCGCTTGAGCTATGGCGCGGACCCTAAAAAGAACATTACAATCATTTCTGATTACACAGTTCTCAAGTGATTAATGAAACGCAAACACTGATTGTCATCCCATTTATATCCATATGCCGTATTTGGTGCGAAGTGATCCTTCACTAAAATGTGAATTATTATATGCATATTTATACTGCTGAAATCCTAGGATTTATACGTGCAGCTGGTGCTTCTAATTAATTAAAATTTAAAGATTAATAATTTATAGAATAAATAACTCTATAATAAGCCGCTCACAGTGGCCGCGCTGTATGAAGCATGAACTATCTTCGTTCGCTCGAACGTAGGGATCGTGGGCTCGAATCCCATTCAAGGCATGAATGTCTGTGTGTGTGCATTTATTTCCTTCTTGTGTTCTCCTGTTTTAAGTAGAGGCCTTGCGACGGGCTTATCACTCGCCCAAGGAGTCCTACCGTCTGTGTAAAGAAAGATTACGAAACTGAGGAAGAGGTCAGAGCCGAAAAAAGTGATCTAGAGCCATTGATGAATTAATTTCTATAATAATCAGTTAATTATTAACTTCCATTATTCTTCCGCATTCACTGGCTGTTCCGATTAGGAAGTAAATTTTATGAATCCTTCAGACATTACATAGGACTCCTTGGATAGGAGATCAGCCAAATTAAAGGCCTCTAACATCAAAGAGAAAAGCGACATGCATTTACGTCCCTCAAAGCCACGCCAGTGTACGCTTATGCAGAGGTCGAATTGTACCGCTTGGCATACACGGAGAAGCACCTGCAATTATATGCAACCCAACTAGCAATTTCGTCTAATGTGTTGCAGGACTGCAAGGCGAAACTAATGTAGTAGTTTTTTGTGCTACAAGACCGCATAGTCTTGTGAGTGGAGACGAACATACTGGTTCAATCTTCCATTAAGGCGACAATATTGGTACCTATCTACTAAAGTACACGGTGTCATGACCCGAAAGCCCACAATATTAATTTTCACGACACTGAAAACATCAAATTTTACCTAAGGCGAAAGTTAACGATGCTACTTGTAATACGTATTGACAGCCTCCCCTTTCTTCATAAGCATAATATTAGAAACAACTTTGCCTTATTTTTCAGTTGTGAACTGATATAATCATGACTTTTCTGGATTATTTAGAAACGAAATACTCTTAGAATATAAACAGATTATTTACACATTTAAATATAATATTAACAATCATAGTTCTCTTAGATTATAACGTGTACCTAATCTTGTACTTTTCGAAAGCTGGGATCGTGAGACTCGAATCCCGATCAGAATATTTCCAAGAGTTTTAGGTCTAGAAAACCGAAATTAACGGCCGTGGGGATTCGTTGCGCTGAGAACGCGACACCCTCTACCACAAAAGTTGGCACTAACTTCGCCGACAAGAGGCGGTCACTCGGTCGGTATAGTTCACTTGCGGACTAAAGCCATGGAGTTTGTTTCGTTGTTTCTTTATTATTATTATAGATGTTTGCTACATCTCCTATTCATCGAGTTCCTCTAATGTCAAAGAATTCGTTGTTTAAAACAATCTTTGAATATAAAACGACACAAAGTGCAATGTATTAGTATGCAGAAGAACGTTATGGTTATAACGTTATTATTATTAATTATAATATTATTATAATCATCATCCTATCTGCAGTTATGTCAAATAGCAAAAGAAGTATTTATTTTACATACACTCAAGGTGAACCTCTGAATTAAAGTTGCAATGTCAGAGGAAGTAGTTGAGCGGAAAGAATTAAACTATATTTTTCACGAACGCAAAAAAAAAGAAGAGGTCAAATTTCCGGAATTGTGGTTAACCAAGCGTGCCCACACTCGGACGCTAGTGAAAGAAGTTGTAGCGGTATTAATGTCAGAACGATGAAAGGGAAAGCGATAAATGAACGGTGAAAACATTGAAGTAAATCATAAAACCTCAGCCAAGCAACGATGTAAGGACTGGAGAGATTCGTGTTAATACGAGTTGTAGGAAATGAGGTTATCGCAGCGGTGGTCATGAAGAGTTCTTTGTTCTGGGATATAACGCCGTGTAGTCCGTTGAAGGTCAACCGACGTTCCTTATGAACGAATCCTCTCCATCTTCAGGGTCAAAGAATCAGCCAATAAAGAACCAGCATTGAGTAAATATCATCCCACCGCGGCTGCCCGGGTTCGATCCCGGGTCTGGTCAAGTGGGATTTGTAGTGGACAAAGTGGCGCTGGTGTAGGTTTTCTCCGAGTACTTCGGTTTCCCCTGCCAATCTTCATTCCACCAATTGCTCCATAATCACCCTCACCTATCATCTGGGGCTGGTACAATAGGCCAGAAGTGGCCGCAGTACAAGGGACTTAGTCCCACCCCATTAGCAATAAAAAAATAGTATATATCATACTGGTTCCTTGCTTGTCTTATTCTTTGAAACTGCAGATGGAGGCGAATTGTTCCTCCGAAACGTTTGTTGACTTTCAATGGATTATACTGCTCTAGATCCCACAAGATAGAAGTCTGTATATGCCAATTGTTTAACAGCTGTCCTAATCCTATTAGAATTAATCTGGATCTATGGATCTTATAAACAGTCGGTAAGATCCCTTGGACGAGGATCAGCCCAGTCACAAGGCTGCTACCTACACAGGACAACACAAACAAAAACAAAATACAGACTACGCCCATGACTTGAGTGGAATTCGAACCCAGTGTTTCAGCGGATGAAGATATTTCATGCGTTAGACGGCGCAGCCACTGTGATCGGCATGATGAACTTAATGAACGAAACTCGTAAGAATTTGTTAACGTGTTATTTTCGTTTAATGCAAAATAATTAACTCCATGCAGTCGAGTTCTTCTTAAGAAATTAATAATCGCAGAGCTACTCCAAAAATTCCTTGACTTTTAAGGAACTCAAATATTCATTGCCGCGTACACAAAATCCGACAGAAATCCGCATGCTGAACCATATTAATACAATTCATATCCTCCCGCTCTATTTCTTTAAGATTCATTTTAATATTATCTTTCTATGTACTCCTAACTCTTCCAAGAGTTATTTTTTTAAATTTGTCAGACCACAACTTTTAAAATATTTCTCATAATTCCATGCGTGCTGCATGCCCTGGCTAATCTCAATCTCGTTCAAATAATATTTACTGAACAGTACGAATTATGACTACTCAGTGTGGGTTAAATGTACACACCGGCTATGGGGCCCACCCAGCTTCCTATCCAAAGGGTGCCCGCTGCTCTTTCGACGGAGGTGAAGCGGCTGAGGCGTGAGTCTGACCACCCACCTCCAACTGGTGCCGTGGTCATGGAAACGTTGCTGTATACATCCCACATAAGTTGTCACGGCGTAGTGTTTAATTGGTTATGTAAGTAAAGAAAAGTAAAGTAAAGCTATCCCTGTAACAGGCCGTGGAGGCCCATAGGGTTGTGAGACGTCGAGGTTCCCACATTTTCTAGACAATCGGCTCACAGATGGCAGTAAGCTTGTCAGCCTTATGCGTTGGCCGCTCTTTACCCTCAGGAATATTCCTGGTACTCATTTATGTTAGAGGCTGAGTCGACCCCAGGCCATAGTGTGACTGGAAGGATTAGGTCAATTGAAAGAAAATCCACCTCATCGGGATTCGATCCCGCGAACTTCTGGATTGTAGCATAGTGACTCAACCAACTACGCTACCGCGTGTCCCCCTTAACTGGTTATGTACAGGAACAAATTTATCTTATACACATACTTGAAAATCCATGTACATAATCAGTTGCTTGTGACAGGACATGGCGAAATCTTCCGCATACCTGAGTCAATGCTCATGTTTACCTTTAAGCAGAAAATTACTATAGATTGTCGGGGAGGGATTTACCTGTATGCATGTGGAAAAAAAAACGTTTCCGCTGAAACCAGAGGGCAAGATGGGAATTACGAATACTGAGAGCAAGCTTTCGAACTGACGATCTGTCCTCCCTAGGATTATAATTAACATAAGACATTACGATTATTATAAAACAAAATATCTGGAAAGGTACAACAAACATAATAATTACAGACAAAAATGGAACTGTGAAATTCATACTTTGACTGATTAGGACCTCTGGCCTGTTCCTACTCAGAATTAATCTCAAACTAGTAATC